TGGTGCTATACAGGCCAACCCCTTGACTCTACTATCAAATGGCTAAAGAGTTGACCAATTGGATCCAGGAATGGTGGTATATAGGCCAACCCCTTGACTCTATGATCAAATGGCTAAAAGTTGACCAATTGGATCCAGGAATGGTGGTATATAGGCCAACCCCTTAACCCTATGATCAAATAGCTGAAAATTGTCCAGTTGGACCCAGGAATGGTGACCCAGTTCAATTACTTGTATGATCTATATTGACATAAAACATTCATGCATGAAGTTTCATTTCTTATTTTCACTCTCCAGACTTCTGGACCTGAGGTTAAATGGATTGAAGGTGGTAAACCATTGTTTAGTGTACACAATAAAATTGTATCCACTATATACACCAAGGTATGTATAAATCAGACAGATGTCATTGGTTTTGCAAATGCAAAACATTTAACAATTTGCATATTTCTAGTGGAGGCATATGTATCATAATTAAACACATTTTTAGAAGTATGTCATCCCACCAATGTTATCCAAACTTTTTTTTTTTATGTTCAGACACACTCCAAAACTGGCACTTGTGTATTGACGTTTATCAGTTTGTCTGTCCATTGTATGCCTGCATGCATGCACCCTCATCTTTGTTTGTTTGTTTACAAATTACAAAAACCTGAACTTACAGATTGACCTTTGTGGTGCGTGCATGAACCACTGTATGCTCGCTCCTAGCTATATGTTGGACATGCCTTGACCAATCACATTCAAACTTCACAAATGCATCATAATTCTTGGAATACATATGCAAGTCTATTTGTTTCACGCTATGCTTCAAGATGGCTGAATGGCAGCCATTTTCAAGCTAAAAAATCTTCAAATGAACTGGTTCGTAGTCGTGCATAGACAGATATTGTTCTGACCTGTATAAGAGTGATGTTGATAGGATTTATTCACTGAGTTGTACTTGTTCTACAGGACCCACATATACATAATTTCTTCATTCATTGCCATGTATATGATAATTGTTCAACATACAATGTGGAACTGTGCAAGTTACTCAAGGTGAGTGTTATCTGATATGTAATGTTACATTTAATATGTAAACTGAATATGATATATAGTAGATTTTATTTGGTAATTGTTGTCCTAAGTAGCTATTCAAAATAGCCATCCATTTCAAGCAATGGGTTCTCCTTTAGTAGCTTAGAAGGAAAAACATTCATTGAAGTTTCATTCTAGTAGTTTTGACATAACAGATATTCTCTTGGTTTAATATTAATATTCATTGGTGAAAGAAGCAAAACAAAACCCAACTATTACATATTAAAATAATTACTGTATCTGATCTAGGTGCTTTTGTAGTGTGAGGTGGTCTTTTTTAATTCGCCCACTTACTTCACAAATTGATTTAATCTGCAAAATTTGCATGCCATATAATATTTCAGCTGAAACAAAACATCACCTCACCAACTTATTTTTAGAAATATAAGATACTGTAGAATACTTTATTTTAGCTAGAATTAATTTTCGCTGAAAAGGCTTTTTGAGTGTTTTGTGTGGAATTTATTGTCACTGATTTTTGGCAAGTTGAATGTGAAATGTAGGGAAAAAAGTATATTTGCTGAATTTTATTTTCCAAGCGAAAATAAAGTATTCTACGGTATATTTAATGATCTAGCATACAATAGATACATTTTTAATCTCTTTATACTATTCCAAATGAAAGGAGCATCAGCTTTTATTGCAAAGTCATTTACATTTAGTTTCAAATGAGTAACAGTTTACTGCAATTTGCTACCTCCCATATAGGCACTACATGCAGTGGACACGTTTACTATCATTCAGTTTTTACCAGTTATTCTTAATCAGCTCTTCAGGATACTAGCAGACTTTGCAACAGAAGATATACAGCTCAATACTGTCAGGTTTGCAAACTTTGATCTTTGTACGCAGTCTTGTAATTATGGTATACTGCAAAATGTTCACTGCTAGAAGTTGTGAGGCATTCACAAAAACAACATTTTGTGAAATTACAGTATTCTGTTGGAGGAGGGTAGGTTAGACACCATGGATGTCATATCAGCTGCCATTCTCCGTCGCAGAGACGAT